TGTGTGTGTGTGTGTGTGTGTGTGTGTGTGTGTGTGTGTGTGTGTGTGCGTGCGCGTGCGCGTGTGTGTCGTATTTAGGATGGATCCCAGGGCCTTCATACTGAGCTACATCTCCTTTTTTAAATTTCTGAAACAGAGTCTAAGCTACCAAGGCTGGGATTCCACTTGGGATCCTCTTGCCTGAGCCTCCCAGAGTGCTGAGATTACAGGTGTGCACCACCTGCCATTCTTTTAATATTTTGTCCAGTTCTTTGCCTTACCCCACAAGTCTCTCCTCACCTTCATTATCATACAAACCTGTGTTTGCTATAAATACACCTTTGCAAAGCCAACTGACACCTATGGGAGCCCCTGTGTTTCTCTGTTTTGCATTCAGGTTCCTGCTGGGCTGGATAGAGTTTGTGCACATCCTGGAGTGGGGGGATGGAGTTGGAGGATTCTAGCAGGGACTCAATTTGACTTCCAGAGTGTGTGTGTATCTGTCTATGTCTGTCTGTCTGACTCCCCCTCTCCACCTCCTTCCCTCCCATCCTCCCTTCTGTCCTCCCTTTCTTTCGGAGTCTCACTGTGTAATGCAAGCTTGCCTTGAACTCATGGCTATTCTGCCTCAGCCTCCCAAGTGCTGGTATTCAGGCGTGTGCCTCTGCGGGGCAGCAAAGTGGATGAGGAAGGAAACTCAAAAGCGAGGACTGATGACACCAGGCATATGTGCCCTCCCACCTGCCTGAGGGCCGCAATCACTCAGAGCAGTGAACACCTCCCTTCTTTGGGGGAGGCGAGCGATTCCAGGCCTCAGAGTGGGATTTCTACTTCACTGCTTCTTTCTTTCCCTCCCATCTGGCTGCTCAGGGCTCTTCATTCTGCAGGAAGAGCAGAGGCGCTGGGTGACCTTGGGTGATGGTCAAGAGGGCAGGGTTTGACCTCTGTAGGATCCACTGGGGTCCAAATACCTCCTTCTGAAGGGCAAGACGGGGGAAGTGTATTGATCGTGTTTTCTTATTTTCTCTGTTTTATGATTTAACATCTAGGGGAAGAGGGGCTTCCTGGCTGGGGAGAATCTGGACAATTCAACAGCTAATATACTACTCGTGCCTTTCACCCACCAACCAGCCAATCTTGAGTCCTCATGGAACTCACACACCCAGCCACTATGTGCCCTGCCCCAAATCAACCCAGCATCAGCACTAGACAAGAGACCAGCTCTGTGCCCTAAATCCTGGCAGGATAATTTAGACCAGTCAGTCCCTGCTGCTCACCCTACCCTGCCTGATCTCAGGGAAACCCCATAAGGGCTTGGCCTGGCCCTCTCCTCCATTCTTGCCTCCCAACAAAACCTGCTACTCCCAGGTGTCCCGCATGCGTGCCCCGAGTGTCTCCAGGGAACTGTGAGCAGCAACTTCTTTCACAGAGACTTAACCTTCCAGGTCCTGACCAGGTCACCTCCTTAAACTAAACTCCCATGGGTACTCATGAGACAGGAGTGGCATCAGAAAGCAGTTGCATTTAGTCCCTTGTGCTTGGGCACTGAAGGCAAGTAATGAAATAACAGTGGCCCTTACTGTTGGCTGTACTGCATGCAGATTTACAGTAAATCTTGATACTGGCAGGCAAATGTTTCTTTTTTTTTCTTCTTAATTTATTTTAGTTTTTCTTGGATTTTTGCTGATCTATTTGCATTTAGGAGCCCCCCCCCAAAAAAACAACAAACTATCTTGGGATGTTTACTGGAACCATGACAAATCTATAGATGAGCTGGGGTTGCCTATTCCTTGGGTGCCCACGGAGACAGCAAAGATTCTCCAGTTCTGCACAGTATGACTGTGCTGCCTTTGCCTTAAGCAACTCAGTTTTGGGGGTGGTTTTGTTATGCAGCAACAGCTGCCTAATACACAAGATCATTCGGCAACTCTGTCATGAGCAGTGGGAGACGAGAATGTCCAAGGGGACAGGAGAGGCAAGCAAAGGGATCATTCAAGCTGGACAATGCCCTCCTGAGTCCAAAAGAGTCATGACTGCTACCACTTGCCAGCCCGAGTGGCCCTCAGGACACCCTAAGGGGTTGACTTTACAACAGAAAAGACTCACAAAGGCCCCAGGAAGCCTGTCTTTCTTCTGACTCTGCACTGTTGCTTCCGACCTGACTCCTCGATTCCCTCCCACAGAATGGAGGACCGATAAAGTCCAAGGGAAGAGGCTGCAAAAGGCCACGCCCTCTACAACCTCAGCCGGAGAACTGGGAATGGAATCAGCGTGGGGGCTTCAGAAGGATCCAGGGCACAGGATGGGGTAGGAGGCGACCACAAAGGGGGTATCAAAGATTTTGTGTGCTTGCTTGTTGGCTTGCTTATTTGCAAGGAAATGTGGGTTCCATCAGGAGTCCCCACCCTCCAGAGAGCTGCACGCAGTTACAGTGCACAAAGGAGACATAGCCAGGCTCCCAGGACAGAGGCGTCCCCTGCTGGGGGTTGGGGACTGTGGGACCTTTGCTCTTTTGTGCATAGATTCTTGGGCTGGAGCTTTCAGGAGCAGGGACAACAACAGGCAACTCCTGATGAAGCTTGGGTCCTGGAGCTTGATAAGGAAGGAAGAAACCTCCAAGCTTCAGAAGGTGTGGGAGATCAGTGAACTTGCTGTGTCTGTCTTTGGAATCCAAATTCCTGGAATGGCTACCAGTGGTCAGTTGTCTACTCATCTCAGGAGCCACCTGTCCCCCATAGAGAGGATCTTGGTTCTGGACTTGACCTGCTGAGAGTGAAGTGCAGAAGTAAGGGCTGGGGCCCCAGGCTGAGTGTCATGTGGCAGAGACCCCTTGTCCCCTTCAGGAATGACCCAAGACCCAGGAAGAACCACAACTTCTCTCTCCCTTGCCCAAGGGGTTCCAGCATCCTGGTCTCTGTGACAGCAGTTTCTCCAAGAAGTCATGTCTCATTTCCATTTTAACCCAAACCCAAACGCCTAGTTGGGGGCACTGAGCTGAGGGAGAAAGAGATGGGTGGCTGAGCAGTGGGAAGGAGAGGGTTCAGCATTGCAGTTGACCCTACCTTGGATATTTAAAAAAGGTCAGCAGGACACAGGCTTCTCAGGGTGGCTGCTGGGCTTGGGCAGAGTTCTCAGGGTCTGGGAGCAACAGTGGAGAATGAGAATGCTGTGAGTGCAGTGGGCAGGAGACCCTGCAGCTGGGAGAGGCACAGGGAGCAGTAGGGGGCTGGGTGATGAGTGGTGAGGGAGGGGCGGGGCCAGGAGGGAGGCAGGGCCAAGAGCCCATCCCACTCCTTCCTTTCCCTCTGCATGTCTCCTGGTGCCTTACCTACCTAGAGGCTGGGGGTCTCCAATGGCCACAGACCCCAACTGCGCAAGGTGAATGCCACCCAGGCTGCGGTCCCTGCGTGGGCCATCTTTGGGCCTGAGCAGTGGCACAAGAGGCCAGGAAGTTGGAAGAGTGACCCCGAGTGGGGCACTGGTGACCACTTTCCTATGACGTGACACCCAGCCCAAGGTCTGCACTGACTGTTTCTGCCCTTCTGCTCCAAGTCACTCGCTTGGGCTCCTTCCTGCCTCCTCTTGAGAAAAGCCCTTGGGACCCAGGCTTCACTTGAGACCCATGGCTTCTAGGGCTGCTGGCTTCTCCCCCCTCCAGCACTGCCATCTCTCCCCTGCTCTGGCACCACCCCAACGTCCTGAAACCCTCTGGATGTTGGCGATGCTCAGGTCCCACGAGGGCTGCTTGTCCTGCCCAGTGGGAGCCATGCCATCTGTGCTCCTTGCATTATCCTGCTGCCCTCGGTAACTCCATCCTATCTTTGGTGGCTCTTGCCCCATCTCTCAGGGCCTTATCATTTCCTTAATGTCTCATCCCCAAAGCTCCCATGCCCAAGAGACCTCACCTTGGTGACCAGGTGCAGCCACTGCCCCTGGAGTGCCCCCTCCGGTGCTACACACCCTGTCCACTGCCCACGGGCCCTCAGTCACTACTGAGCTGGGCCAAATCCCTGTCAGTGGGCACTTGAGGCCTGCCTGATGTCCTGCCCCTGTCTACAGTGTCCTCTGTCCCCATCTCCAGCCCAAACCTGCTTGTCTTTCAGCTGGCCCAGCACACTCCCGGGGCCAGGCTGTCAGACATGGCTATGAGGTCCCAGTGAAGGCACAGCCCCAGGTTGACCACACTTAGTATGTGGCCCTCATCCCAGGTTACAAAAAATGGAGTCAGGGCTGTGGCACAAGAGCAGCCACCACCACAGCTGACCAATGGTACAGAGGGCAAAGATGTGCTGGGCCAAACATGGGAACTCGAAGGGGTGACAGAAGTGATTTGGGCAGAAGTGGCAGCTGGAGAGGCCTCAGGAGACACGGGGAGCATGGACTGCATCAGGAGCTGGAGAAAAAACCTGGCCAAGACAAGGGTAAGGCAGCCACCCCGTGGGATAATTGGGACACAGGAGGGGGTGGGATGGCCGGACAGGTGTGGAGGGCAAGGCCTGATGCAGATCCAGCCAGGGACCCTTACCCTGGGCTCTGCTGCCTCCAGGGCTGAGGACCCAGCCAACTCCCCAAGTCCCAAAGAGCTCTGAGGGCTCATCCCTGTCCCCCATCTGAATGCTCAGAGCCTACCTATTGCATTCCGGTTCCCTCCTACAGCCCCAAGGGCATCGCTGGAGGTGGTGCCCGGGGAGCCGGAAGCAGCACCAGGCCAGGCCCACCCCAGGGAGCAGAGGCAGCAGGAAGCTGAAGAGCACTGCCGGCAGGAAGGTGTCGCCGCCTGCACAGGACAGGGCACTGAATCCAAGCAGGTGCCCCACATGGAGCCCAGCCCACTTGTCCCCCATTGGCGCACTTGCAGGCTGCACTGGGCCACTGTCCACACTGCCGCCGAAGCCTGGCTTGTCACAGAAGGGTGGAGCCCAGCCCGGAGAGCAGTGGCAGTTATGGTTGCTATTGCAAACCTGCAGAGAAGAAGGAAGAAAGGTCATATCTCGTCAGGGACCCCAGTGGCACTCCCACTGCTCAGGTGACTCACCCCATGGTTGTGGCAGGTAGTCAGGCAGCGCTCCAGCTCCTGGGAGGACGTGTTCTGGCAGTGCCTGTCCTGGCATACCTATGGGCAGTGTGCCCAATGGACAGTGAGCTGGGTACACTTTTGCCTATGGAACTCAAGTGGCCAGGAGGCGTCTCAGGTGGGCAGCGCTCACCATTCCAGGTCCACACTGAGTGCCCGGCTGTACCAGGCCCAAGTCCAGCAGGTCCACCTGGGCATCTGGAAGTACCAGAGCTGCACGACAAGTCACCTGGTGGCCGTCTGAATGAACCGTGGACTCCACAGACAACGTGTGTGGCACTAGGGGGCTGGGCTCCCCTCCCTGGCACTGCAGCTTCCCGCATTGAGTGTCCCTGAGGAGCAAGTGGAGAGCAGTCAACACCGCCAGTGTGGGGCTCCCGAACCCATATGCAGCTGTGACTCCCCCATTGTGCTCCTCACCTCTGAGCACAAGGCAGGAACCGGCCGGAGCCATTCCTGCCGCAGTTCCCCGCGGAGTCTCCCACGGGGTTCACCAGCTGGAAACAGGCCCGGGGAGCTGGGCGGGAGCCTGAGGATCAAAGCAGGGCACTGGGCAGCGCAGCCTGGACCGCGCTCTGAGCCTCTCAGGTCCCCGGCAGATCCTGCCTACAGGAGGAAACCGCCACCCGAGGAGGGGCCGGGTGCTAGGGCGTGTGGTCTCACCAGGCCCCCAGAGCTGTGCGCACTGCTGCTCCAGCGTGGGACACGCGCCGTCCAGGCAGTAGCCTTGGCCGCCAGCGCAGGGCCAGCCGTCCAGCAGGTAAACATCCGGGGGACAGTGAGGGGAAGAGCCAGTGCAGAACTCGGGGAGGTCACAGTCACCTACGGCCCGGCGGCAGGGCGAGCCAGCTGGCTTCAGCTGCGCCGGTGGGCGGTTGCGTCAGTGGATGGTGACAGACGTGAGCCGAGCTCGATCGGAGACCAGCGCGAGGGCCAGGCGACCCGCTCACAGAGGACCAGGGAGCGCCAACCAGCCAGGACCAACCCGCCCTCACCAGGCAGCGTGCGCAGCAGTCCCCGCGGGTACACTGGGCCCCCGCCCGCAGCGAGCAGTTGTGGGCGAAGCAACAGAGGTCCGGGCACTTCTGGGGTCAGAAAGGTGAAACTGGATCAGGTGCAGGCACAGAGCCCCAGACCGCCGGAGGAGGCGAGAGCGGGGCCAGGCTCGGTCCCCAGAGGTCCGGCGGGCGGATCTGACC